TATTCAGAAGTTGAAGTTAGAAGAAACATTAAGCAGGTTCGAGGGGCTTTGTACCAGCTTTATGATGAATATATAGCTATTTATAATGCTTCTAGCAGTGAGCAATCATTCACTAAAGGGAATGGTAGCAATAGGTCTTTTGTAAGTTCTAGTTCCAACTCTCAATCATCAACAAATTCGGGATGGTCAAAATTGTTGACTTATGTAAAGAGAGTTGAGACCATTCCCTCACTAAAATCAGAGTTGGACATGTACCTTGAGGAGGGTGTTTATATTTGTGAGGAAGAAATGTCACATTATGAGTTTAATACTTTGGAATGGTGGAAGGCAAATAATTTGAAATATAGAGTATTGTCAAACATGGCATCTGAGATTCTTGCTATTCCAATATCCACAGTAGCTTCAGAAGCTACATTCAGTGTTGATGGCAGGGTAATTGATTTTTATCATGCATCTTTGACTCCAAACACTGCTCAAGCTTTGATTTGTGAAAGGGGGTTGGATTCATGTCCTTCATGGGATGAAGAAAAAACAAAAGGTATTTTGCACTTTATTTATACTTATTATTGCTTATTGGTATACTATTTATTTATTTGTTTGCTTTGATTTATTGTTCCTCAATTATTTAATTTTGGTCATTTTTCATGTTTGTAGGTGGACAAGAAACATACTGAGATAGTTCCACCCGTTTCTTAATAATGCCTTCAACTTTGGGTAAATTGTTTGGATGCTCTAGGATCAGGAGATGTGACCATGTCAATCATTGGCTATGGATTCAATTGTTTAGGATATTTAACTTTTGGATTTTTTTTAGTTCCTTTATGGTTATGTTTAGAAACTTAGAATGCATATTTAACTTTTTTTAATGTTTAACTCTTATGGATTTTTGGTTCTTGTGAGATGTTATTTGATGGTTTTGTTTAAGTCTCAATGGCACTAGCATCTTACGTCTGAACAAAGCCTATTATACTCTACTCAATACCAAAAATTTTCTTTATGGAACTTGTGTTTTGATTTTTCGGTGTTTATTTGCTTGATTTTTTATATCATCTTTGTTACTTTCAAGGTGAGAGATGAGGGACTTGTGGAAGATTGGAGGGGTTTGGTTATACCCATGCATATACATTTTTTCTTTCAGTTTATCAATTTTGTTAAACCTATTCTTTTCTTTTTCCCCTTTTCTAAATTGGAAAGAAGGCATCATGACTAATTTTCCGTTTTGAAATTAATAATTCCAAAACATGTCCAGTGAAATTAGTCATTCCAAAACACCAATAGATAGGGCTTTGTTTGCCCTCCAAAATTTGGATGGGATTGTTGAAGAAGCAACTGAAGAAGAACTGATGGATGCTATGGCCTAAGCAGATTCGACTGGCATGTTTATATGTCCTCATACTGGTGTTGCTTTGACAACATTGATTAAACTTAGGAAAAATGGGGTTATTGGCCCTACTGATCAGACAGTAGTGGTTAGCACTGCTCACATGCTGAAGTTCACACAGTCCAAGAATGACTACCACTCAAAGAAGATTGCAAACATGGCTTGCAGGTATGCAAACCCACCAGGCCCTACTGATTGGAATGTTTGAATGTTTGATTCTCCTTGTTTAAGTTAGTTATTATTGTTGTAGTTTTATGCATTCTTTCTTGGTTGCCTCAATATCTGTAGCATTTGATGCCAAGTTTCTGAAGTAGCAATATTATCTGAAAATTACTAATAAAGCACATTTGGTCGTTGATTTATTTTTGTTGGTATAAATTTCCTTTATTCTCTTTGTTGTTGCATTGGATTGATTTGTAGAACTTGATATTCAAGTTTTACTTAGATATCATCATGGGAAAATGAGTCTCTACACCTGAATTGTAATCCTCAATTCCAAACACAGCTTTTAAGTTATGAAAGGAAAATGAGCATTGCTCATAAACATGCATTGTAATGCTTATAGTTTCTTAGGGTATATCTATGCTATGAAGTTTGCTTTTGCTTGGCCATAATGAGAAACACCAGAGATCCAGCTAGTAAAACTTAAATGATTTCTTGCACATAAAAATCCTCTTAAAAACATATATAATGCCATTTTGTATCCTGGTGTTGGAAATTTTTTGTTTGGCAATATCATCTATTACTTACTATACATTCTTCTGCTAAATGGCAAGCATTGCTAATTCCCATATGTGAGAAACTAGGGATCGCATTGCTAATGTTTCTTTCCTAGTAGATTGTATGGCTTTTGTGCAGAATTTGCAACTATTGATTAAAATTCATTATATACTAAAAGAAAAAAGGTGCAAAACAAGACTCAACACCCATTAACTTATATAAGATAGAGAAAGGCTTATTGTGGTTGTGGGGGTAGGATCTGTTAGACTATTAAAAACATGTATAATGGCCTATGGGATACCAGTTAGGTAACCCAATCAAGAGTGGACATAGCAGTGATCCATACAATTGGCGTGTACACTTGACTAGTTAAGGTCCCGTTGTAGATGGTCAAGATGGATATACATGGCAGTGATCCAATGACTAGATTAATGTTTGTTCAAAGAATAAAGATTAGACTGGTTTAGCGGCACCCAGTCTTATTTGAACTATAGGTATTAAGGAGATACTAGTTTAGTGGTACCCAGTCTAACATTCATTAAAGCTCGAGCTCGAGCTCAAATAGGCTCAGTTCATTATTGAGCTCGAATATATAGTTTTTCCATTTGAGCTGAATTCAAGCTTGTATTTCTAGTTCGAATCGAGCTCGAGCCTTGTAATGTTATACCGAGTTGAGCTCGAATACCCAAATATTTGGCTCGGCTCAGCTCGAATCCACCCCTAGATAAAATAACTTCCCTTGTTAAATGCCTCATTTACTTGGTCAAATCTCCAATAATCTTAGGTTTACTTTAAATTTAATATATTCCTTTTCTCAATAGATCGGGAGGAACCCACTTTAGTTGTCTAGATCACTATCTTATATGTCTAAAAGGCATTGTCAAGGTTAACCTTTGATCACTATCTTATATGTCTAGATCAGGAACCCAACTTGGAGGCTCGACACTTTTTAGATTTGAAAACATGTGGCTAGAAACCCCATTAATCATTGAACAAATGAAGGTGTGGTGGGAGGAAGGTGAAATCAATATGAGGAATAAAGGGGTATATTTTATGAAGAAGATGGGGATATTTAAATAATGTATTAAAGAAAAGTTTGAAAAATTATAAGAGTTGAAAGAAAAAATCTCTAAAAGGATAGAAGAGTTAAATTAAAAGGATGCTAGAAAGGAATGTAGTTAGAATGATAAAACAGAGTGGTGGAACCTAAAAGTAGAACTAGAGTGGATCATAAGGAAAAAATCCTTTGAAGACAAAAATCAATGTGCAAATGTTTTTTAAAGGAGATGGTAATACAAAAATTTTCCACTCATTGACAAATGGACGAAGAAAACATCTAATTACAACATTAAGGTTGAATGTCAGTCTTCTAGGTGACAAACAAGGATGAGGAAATTGCTAAATGTCTAGTGGATCATTTTAAATCATTTTTTTGCCACTGTAGGGGACAATCACCTAAACTTGAAAGGTTTGGATTTGATTAATGTGCCTGAAACCCGAATTGTCTTTCTATAAAGAATTTCATGGTACAGGAGGTACGTGAAGCAGTTTTCTGAATTAGAGGATTTAAATCCCTAAATCCTAATAGCTTTCCATAGCTTTCTATCAAGATTGTTAGTTGATCTTAGAATATGACTCAATGGAGGTGTTTTATGAGTTTTACCACAAATAGAAAATCTCACTAAGTGCAAATTCTATTTCCCTTGCCTTAATGCTCAAAAAGAAAGAGGTTAAAACCCCAGAGGACTCTAGGCCCATAAGTCTTATTGGTAGAGCTTTGACCAGGCTGCTTGGGTTTTTTCTTGCAATCAATCCTTCACATTTTTCCACTGCACAGGTAAGAGCCCATCGCTCCTTGCAATTGGTCATTTGCCCTGTAACTTCTTCTTTCTTTCAGCAACCTAGACTAATATCTTCGTTTTTATGTTTACTCAATTTTGTTTCTCAGTGTATCGCACTTAGTTCATTAGACCTTTTTCTTTTTTCTTTCTGATGTTAAATATGTCCAAGTTTCTTTAGATTAATCAATGGAAGTTTCACTATATATTGAGATTTTCACTTAAATCCAAATTTGAGTTTATTATCCCACTCCATGATATTAGCCTTTTATCCTTGTTTAGTTTTGATGGGTTTTAAATTTGAACAGAGTTGATCTCCATTTGATTTAAAATGATTTTGTAGCTAATGCAATTTGGTTTAGTCTTTGAGAAGTTGCAACTAACTTTGAAGATACTGAACACAATAATGTTGATTTTGTTTGCTTCCTTGAACTGCCATTTATCTCATTTGCCCAATATGAATTTTCTTTAATTATTTGCATAGTTTTAACTTGCAACAATGCTTTGTTTGTGTATTGATTTGAAAAACTAATCTCAAATAGTGTATCCAAACGCTGTTTCTGTTTCTTTAGAATAAAAACTTGCTTCTGAGGAATAAATTGCCAAACACTAGTATTATTCCACAAGAACTAGAGACTCCATTCCTGTTCTGAATAGGTATTTCTCTAGGAACAGGAGCAGGTAGGAAGAATGCCAAACAGGACTTAAGTCAACTGACTGAATTATAAGTGTTAATGGACAAAGTTTGGATTAGAATTAATCTAAATTAAAATAAATTTGAACAAATTGGATAGTTCAGAGATTGAATTGGACTGGTCTAAAATATTCATTGAATTGAATTGAATCTGATCCATTTATAATGGACTCATATTTACCGGAACGGATTGGACACCCCTCAACTCAACTCGCCCGACTCACGCTGCATTTTTTTAATGCATTATATTGGCGTATCGGCATAGGAATTCGACTATCAGATATTTCGGAGGCACTTTATACATTCCTCAATAACCACGGTAAAATAAGTTATAAAAGTAATAATGGAAAAGAAAGACCCAAAAAAGCAACAAAACACATCACAAAATCAAAACTCAAAGCTGTCCGAACCGGCGTTGCCTTACCAGTTATCATTGCTGTTGGTCACCGGAAAAATCGACAATTCACAACGACATGGAAACTGGGGAAATATCTTTACCGGAATCTAGTGCTCCTATCCCCGAGGACTTCGTGCACGTTCAAAACCCCAAGCGCTCAGAGATCTCAGTGGACGAAGCCGGGCAAGACTCTAGCCCGGACATCTTAGAAAGTCCTAATCCTGACCATGAAAGTTCATCTCGAACAATTGATACAGATGATGCTATCGGAATTGATAATGCGTCGGCAGTTACTGAATCCGAAAGTTCGGAAGCTGTGGTAATGGAGGCAGGACAGAACAAAGTTCTTCCTGAAGAGATTTTGAAAAGTGTGGTGTGTTTGCAATGTGAATCCTCGGCTGAAGGTGGTTCTTGCGATGTTTACTTGGTCGGAACCGCTCATGTTTCTATGGTAACTCGTCCTGATTTTCTGTTGATGAATCTTTGCTATTAATATGTGAGAAATTTCTGAGATAGGATGGAAAATCAAAGCCTTTTTGGTGGGTTCAACACATGAATATAAAATGATAAAATTACGATTTCTGTTTTTTTAATTATATTTAGATTAGATACATTTGATTTGGATGAATCTCAGCGATTTAGCTCAATATATTCATATTAGAAGCATTGAATCTGGAATGGTTTGACTCAACTTCCAATACCAGAACTTCTATGCACCTCTTCCCCTTAATAGGCGTATAGGTGTGTGATCTGGCTCATAAGTCGCAAGAGTATTCAAGTTTGTCATTAGAAAGGAATGCATTTTATTACACTATTCTTTTTCACATTTAAGCCATTTTTGCGTTCGTTGGCTGTTCATGTGGTTGCAGGAATCCTGTAGAGAAGTTCAAGCAGTCATCGATTACTTGAAACCGCAGGTGCTTCCCTTTTGAAACTCTCAAACATTTGATTGATGGATGGATCAATTAGCAGGTTGGCTGCCTGCTTTAAAATTGTTCATCTGCTGAATCCTCTAAATTTGACAAAGCAATTTACATTTACTTATTTATATTTTATATTTACCTATTGATGACAGGTTGTTTTCTTGGAGTTATGTTCTAACCGAGTAGCTATACTGACCCCTCAAAATCTGCAGGTATTGAATCATCTCTTGTACTTCTTTCTTCTTTTATGTGTTTTATATTTGCAACCTATCAATCTTATTATAAGTTGTTATTTGTTCTTTTTTTTTGGTTATGAAATGCTCGAGCTAGCTACCAATTGTGGAAGGTTTGATAATGCCTTGTTTAGGTCTATCTAGGATCTATCTTGTAATATTCCTTTCCTCCCTTTGTTCATAGAATTACCTTCTTGAAGGGAAAAGGAGCTGCTTATGTTCTATTTTATGGAACTGCAATATAAAGATATGCATGGTGATTTGTTTTAGCTTCAGCTCATTGTCACACCAAGAAATAATGGTTCAAGGTCAATATAACATCCTTCCATTCGCCTGTTGGGGTTAATATTTCTTTTTCTCTTTCTTTCATTCTTTTTTTCCCTATTTTTCTTCTTGGTCAGCAGATTGAACTGGAATGGGCTTCTAGCCACCTATAATCCATTCATACATGAAGAACGTTATTTTAGTGGTGGATAATTAAAGCACATATCCTAATCTCTTTCCTCTTTCATAGAAAGTGATCATCATTTAGAGAAAGCAGAAAAATACATGCAGAGTAAATGGATGAAAACTTTTGAAGTCTTTCAAGCATTGCATGCAGCAACATATCACTAAAACGGTGCAATCACATCTCTTAGTGCAAAATATTGATGGTGTTAGAACTTAGTGAGCTTTGAACAATGTATACCAATCAAAAAAAACTTTTGAATGATGTATGGATTGAATTCAAGAAACAATTGATGGAAATCTCACCACATTCAATCCAAAGCTAGGTTGAACTATTTCGACATTCTGTATATGATCTTTTTGAGGGATTTGTTATCCACAATGATGAATTCCGAAATACTCATTCAACTCATGAAACATAAGTGGAGTTATTTTTTCCATGTATATATAGACTACTATTAATTAAAAGTATTACAAGTATGAATGAACTCGTGGAATTTTTCTTGACTAAAACACTCCTATTTTTGAATTTACACTCCTTAATTGTGAGGGTAGAAGACGAAATTTGAACTACTACTTTCCACACCATTCAATTTCTTCTTAGAAAGTCTTATATTTAAGGTATTAACTCATATTCTCTCTCATTAGATCCTATATTTAAGGTATTTTTTCTTACTAATAAATTCTATTAATTGTCTACATCCAATACTATTAGCGATATTGTTGATGCAAATTCCATGTATTGGATTAATACAAAACATGGAGACGAATTACAAAAATTTAATTTTGTAATGAAGAACAATATAATGGGAGTGAGCTCTCTTTGGTTTTGCATGATAATGTGAGCAACCACTGATTACCGATAAAAAATGATGAAGACAAGGATTGTTTGTGTTTTTTCTTGTGCTTCTCAAAGTGCTGATGTAGTTTTGTTCAATTCTTGTGCTTCTGAAGAGTTGTTATTAGAATTCTTCACTCCGGGCTTTGTGCTTTATCGCTTATAAAGAGTGCTTTTCTAGGAAGGGCCTTTTTTGATGGTTTGATCTCCTTTCAAAGTTTGAATCCAAATGTGGAGTGGATAACTAAGAAGTTTTTTCTTCTTTCTTCTCTCTTGTACTTGAAGTGAAGTTGGAGTTTGCAGGGGCTTATGATTTCTTGTAATTCTCAAGTGAGTGTGTGTGAGAGAGCTCTCAAGCTCAAGTGTGTAGTTGTGATTGTAGAAAGAGAGCTTCTTCCCCCTAGGCACTACTATTTATAGCCTAGGATTACAGCTGCCACCTCAGGCCACTTTGCCAACCAGTCATTCCGATGTGAGTGGGATGTTAGTTAGGGTTAACTCCCATACATACTCTATTATGTAGGAGTTAGTGGTTTTGCCAATGAGGCCACCCTATTACAATAGGATGTGGGCCTAATTGGGCTTGGTACACTTGGATCCTTGGGCCATGGGTCATGTCTGCATAGACTTGGGCTTATGGATGTCCATATAAACTTGGGAAGCTATCATATGAATTAACTCACTTATTTGGCTTGGAAATTCACATGTCTACAAATGCCCATTCAAGGATGAGGTGAAGGAACTCCACATGGTGCTGACGTCCTCAATGATGTCAATTTCTATGTTAAATGATTGTTTGACTGACTTGCATGTTATGCAATTGACCTTGGCTTAATGAAAGTGTTCTGCAATATAAGATGAATCGTCAACATGTGAAATTCAAGTATTGCATCTCGTCTCGTTGAACTCAATCATCTCATCTCTAAAAGTTGTAGCAATGTGATCTTGTTACATAGAGATACTGATATGTATGCTGTACTAATTGTGCATCCCTTTGAACTTTGTTTGAAGAGCCAAGGCCCTTGTTTGAAATTCAAGTATTGCATCGTCTTCTTTTATCTCTGGCAGCCACCTATTCATGGCCCTTGTTTCAGCTTGATGTTAAAAATGCTTTCCTCAACGATGATTTACGGGAGGAGGTATATATGGACACTCTGACAAGTTTTTATGAAAATATTGGTAAAGGAAAGGTGTGCAAATTCAGAAAATCATTGTATGGCCTGAAACAGTCACTTAGGGCTTGGTTTGACAGGTTCAGAGGGGCACTTATCCGTTTTGGGTACACACAAACCCAATCTGACCACACCCTCTTTGTAAAGAGGAGAGATGCTCTGGTGTCAATTCTGATTGTGTATGTGGATGATATAGTGGTTACAGGAAATGATCTGGAGGAGATTGATGATCTCAAAAAATTATTGCAGCAAGAATTCGACCTACTACGGGAGATTGAGAAGTTGGGAACCAAACCAACTGACACTCTTATTGATCCAAATCATAGAATTATTGCTGTGGATGGTGAGTTGGTAAAAGATGTGGGGAGATATCAAAGAATGGTGGGCCGATTGTTATATTTGTGTATGACACGACCAGATATTTCCTATGTTGTCGGTGTTATGAGTCAGTACATGCATACACCTCGGGTTTAGCACTGGGAAGCTATTGACAGAATACTTGCATACCTGAAAAAGCACCCTGATAGAGGTATTCTTTTCTCAAATCATGAAAATCTGAAGTTAAAATCCTATACAGATGCAGACTGGACAGGGTGCTTAGATGACAGGAGATCTACATTAGGAGTGTGTACCTTTGTAAGTGGAAACTTGATCTCATGGAAGAGTAAGAAGCAAGYGGTTGTGGCAAGGTCAAGTGCGAAGGTTGAGTATAGATCCATGGCTCATGGTGTCTTAGAACTTATTTGGGYTAGATCTCTTTTGAGTGAGATTGGAGTCAAAGCAGAGGAATCTATGATGCTGTACTGTGACAATCAGGCTGCAATCAATATTGTCCACAATCCAATTTAGCATGACAGGACAAAACACATTGAAGTTGATAGACACTTCATAAGAAAAAGGGTAACAACCAGAGAAGTTTGCTTGCCTTATGTCTCTTCAGAGTTGCAGTTGGCTAATGTTCTCACTAAAGTGGTTGCAAAGAACAATCTTGAACATGATCTACGCAAGTTGGGAATGTGTGACATTTACTCCCAACTTGAGGGGGAGTGTTGAAGATTAATCAGTTTTGTGTTGTTTTATGAGTAGATGTTTTATGTTAGTTGTTAGATAGGAGGTGGGGACCATGATAGTTATGTGAGTCCAAATTTTATTATGTTTTTGAATCTTATATATGCTGTTTTATGTTTTGCCACCTTATAAGGGCATAGTTGTCTTTGTACTATTCTTATATTTTTGTTATAAGTAATAAGTGAAGGGGGCGGCCAGATTATTGCTCTCTTTTCTTTTCAAGATCTGTTTTTCTCTTCTTCTCCTTCTCTCTTCCTTCTCCCTTCAAGAAACTACTTTTCTTTTCATATTTTTTGAATTCAGCAGATTTCTACTAAACCCAATAGTACCTGAGCGCCCAAGATCAGATCAAAATCGAAGAGTCCAACTTGACTAGGACTCTTCCCCGCACTCTAGTTCTTCTCGATTTTGATGCCAAAACATAATCATCCTCCTGATGACTAGATCACACCAAACAATCCAAGAACTAGGCAATCTAAAGTAGATTGATCATCCCTTTATCTCCTCATGCAATCGGCTAATCTAGGACTGCATGGAAAAAACTCCAAGAAACCTTAGCCAAGCTCTGATACCAAGTAGAAAAGTGCTGAAATAAAAAATCTGTAAAAGAAAAGAATATTTCTTGAAGAAGAAGAGAAGAAAGGAGAAAGAGAAGAGAAGAGATTTGAGAGAAAAGAGAGTAATAATGCTGGCCACCCTCTTCACTATTATTTATAGTCTAAAATAATAAAGAGTGCAAAGACCAAATTGCCCTTATAGGACGGTTAACACATAAAACAGCGTAAGGCATTTAAATAACTACTCAAAAAGGACCCAACAAGAGTGTTGTGGTCCCCACTTCTTATCTAAATAATAAATAATAAAAAACTGCCACTATAGACTATGTAATTTGTCTAAAACCTCAACAGTACTATTCTTGGGGTATCAACTTCCCAGACATTACACGTATGCTTGGATTGGACTATATTCTGATAGAGGTGTCTTCATTGATGTTCCATCTAATTATAGATGACTCCTCATTGAGATGTTTCATGGGCTCTTAAGTGCCTAGTACTTTTTTGTTAAGGAATCAAAGTTAGCTCGAGACCTTACTCGTGGTGACATGGCTGAGAATAAGATTGATTTGCAACAAAAAATTGTAATTTAATGTTCAAAACCCCGGAAATTGTGTTGATGATGAATCCCCCTCTATATAATCCAGGGAATTTAAGTTCAACACCGATCTAGAGGTGTACAATCGACATAGGTTTGCTCTCATCAACAAGTTTTCCATCAAAAGGTTCCAAGGACTCCAAAACATTTATCTTAACACACTAGTCTTGCTAAGATTTATAGTCTGTGGTCGTCCCTTACTCAGGTGAACACTAGGGCTACATTTTATGTTCCAAGTCTTGTTAGGTATATTGATTGTCAGTATGATTTAAGTTACTTCCAATGGTAGCTACAAGGTGCAA